ATTCCCAGGAGACTCCACTTTAATCCGATGCGTAGATGACCTTCTATGTTCTGACAGTTATGGCAACTCCTCTTGGACACGGACTACCTTCCTTAGGCTTTTTAGAAAGAAAGGGCCACAAAGTGGCTGAAGACAAAATTCAGCTAAGCTGTGTGTCTGATATCTGGGTCACTGTACTTCGGCTGCATGTAAAACTATCTTCACAGACCAAGGCTCCCCTGTTTGACATTTTCCCCTCCCTGAAAGAAGAGGACAACAGATAGGCATTTGGGGTCTTGGAGGATATTGTAGGATGTGGCTAGACCTACATTCTCCTGATTGCCTCACCCCTCTGTGCCATGACTAAGGAGGCCTCCCCAGATGCGGGAATCTGGGGTCCACTATCCAAAGATGCTTTTGAGAACCTTAAGGGCTCTCTCTCCACTTTCACTTCCCACACTTAGACTGACCAATTACTCCCTGCCTTTTTCTTTGTGCATGAACACAAGGGTCATGCCCTCAGAAGCTTATTGGTCACCGAAGATCTCAGCCCCGTGGCTAAGGCATAATCCCCCTTGCCCATGAGCCATGGCTACAACCACCAAACTTTGTCCCAGCTGCCTCTGATTTAGCATTAGGTCATCTGCTGTACAGACTTGATGGAAACACATAGTACTTTTCTGCATCTTGACTTACCTCTCCTGAATCTTACTACTCTCCCCCTGCACGTCGCTGTATGTCACTGTCAGAACCCTGCCACCTTGCTTCCCTTACCCACTAATGGGATGCCCCACCATTGTGTCCCTAACACTAGTCCACGATCCTCTCTTAGGCTAGATTCATCAGAACCCCCCATACACACGGACCTCACTCTTCATGTCAATGGCTCCTACCTCTGAAAGGAGGATGGAGCCTTCCAGGATGGATCCGCCACCACTGATCAACACAAACCTCTAGAATATTGAGCCCTGCCAAATGTCAAATCAGCCCTGGTTGCTGAGTTAATTGCTCTTACTTGGGCTTCCGGTAAGAGCAGAAGGAATAAAGGTTAACATATGTACTGAAGCTGCTACACCTTTGGGGTAGAACGTGACTTGGGCACGTAAAACAGAGAGGATTCTGACAGCAGCCAGTCCCCCCAGTCAAAAACAGACCCCAAATCGCAGAACTTCTAGAGGCACTGTTATTATCCCCGTAGACTACTATGGTAAAAACTGAGGGACACAGCACAACAAATTCAGACGCGACCTAAAGAAACAGACTGACTGGTAGGTACGCTACATCAGCAGACTCCTCCCTGCCCACCCTAGAAATCCAAGGGTTTCCAAGCCTTGGGACTACACCCTTGCATCCCGCTTTCAGAGCCTAGACCCCCGGTGGGATTATTCACCTGCCCCTGAGAGAGCACTATTTCAGGACGATTCCTCAGGCAATCATAAAAGAAATCCACATGGCCCAAATGGTAGCTTCAGACTCGGGAAGAACTGGTTGGGGAAAGCTGGATGTTTAAGCCATTCAGACAGACTTTGGAAACACCAAGATGGCTGCTCCACAGTCCCCAGGTTCATCTCTAGAGTCTGGGGCTTATTCAACACCACCCCCATGGAAAAGGACAAAATGCAGGGTATAGGAGACAAACGGTAGTTTGGACTCTTTGGCTTTTATTTGGACCAAGCAGTCGCCCCTTGCCTCAACGGCCAGAAACAGAAGCCTGGAAAAACCATAAAGGTGCAGCAAGGAAGGGAAGCGGCTCGCCCTCCACCGTGTCAACCCAGATACTTACCCCTTGCGAGAAAACCCTGCACCTATTTCAGTCCATCCTCACAAGGGTCTTGTCTTTTCCATTGTAATTTTACCACAGGTCCTTTTCCAAGAATGAGCATTTATCATCACACTTACCTAACCGGCACTAAATCCAACATAAAAGCCCCAAGCCAAGACAGGGTTCCCTGGAGATCCCTCATGGGAATGAAAATGTCCCCACGGCACCTCCTACCTGGTTTCTCAGACCCAGCCCAACCACATAGAAACCACCTCCAGACACAGCTTCTCCCCCATCCTCAAAATTAGCATCCTCTGGTTATCCTCAGCCACCAGATGGTTATTTTTATGACCCCTGGCTAATTCCCGATGGTTCTGACTTTGTCTGGGGAACCCACGCTTCTTGGTTGTCCCCTGCCAACCAGACCAGCTCTTGCTACCTCGTCAATCTTACCAAATCTCTTCATCTTACTCTGTTTCCTGCAATCTTCTTGCATTCTTAAATTCTCTCTAAAACAACCACCCCCTCCCTCAGGGTCACCTCGCTCTCACTATAAGAACAAGAGGTATCCATGACATCCCAGATCCTCCGAATGGTGATCTCCGTTCCTGGGAAGGTGAGGTAGAAAAAACAGCCACAGAACTGGGCCTGCATTCCATCCAGGATCTCTCGACTTTTGGGGAAAAGTTTGCCACTTTTTTGGGTACCATCCCTAGGAATTTATCACCTGGCTCAAGAAGTTAGATTCCACAACAGAATCATCTGTTCATTGCTGAAGCCGTTCACCTTGTCCCTAGATAATATCACCGTGGGCCTCGAGTCAGTGACCGGCCAACTACAAGAAACCCAGCGAGCCATTCTCCATATGACCCTGATTACAGAAGGGGACACTTGCCCAGTGGTCAGAAGTAACTAGTGCATCTTCAACCCCAACAATCTACCAGACATCTTTGCCATAACCAGGAAGGTTCGAGAGGTGAATGAAGAAAGCATTTCACTGCCATTCTAACTCACACCGCCAAGGAAGGGTAACAGGTCCTGAGACTTTTGGTAGATTCTGAAGGTCTGTGAAGTTGGGTACACATATTGATTCCGTCTCTAGGGTTCATCTACTTTTCTTCAAGGTATTCCTCTCATTAAAGGTCTTGTGCGTCGTACAGAACAGCAATTATCTATTGTCACCAACCACATAAGGAAGAGACTTATGCTGTTCAGAGGAAAGAAGAATTTCTTTTCTTCACTTGAGCAAGGGGCGAGACTGACAAAGATTCTTTGCTTGACCAAACTTTAGTCAGGATCCCCCTGAACCTTCTCCCCAAGGAGGCCCTTCTATGTACTTCCTTCTAGAATCCAGTTTAGCAAGAATCCCGCTAAATCAGTTTATTCAGAATTTCCCACCCTGAGATCTTATCACGTTAGGCATCCCTACAACCCCCAACCCCCACAGGTGATATCTGATCTCCCTGGTCCACCTTCAGCCAGAACCCCCCATCCCCACCCCGCTCCCCACCTCCCACTCCACTTGCTTCTTGGCTATAAATCCCCCCTGTTCAGGTCGTATTTGGAATTGGGTCCAGTTCTATAGTGGAATCTGTCTTCACCTACTGCAACTGTTTGGTTTTTTTTTTAGTAAAGCCTAACTTCTGTTTTCTTTCGCAGGGGTCTTTTTCCTTACCTGCCAGGTCTCTGAACATGCCATTTCCAAGCTCAGCCGGATCTCTGGCGATTTCCAGGAGGTGAGGCGGGCTTGTCCACCGCAGGGCTTACTCTAGAGAAACCTGCCCTCAGGTAGGGAAAGTTCCCATTCCCAGTGCTGGGAAGTGGCAGAGGAGAGGAAAGGTCTCCACCCTCCTGTCCTCCCCACCGGGTCTTCACCTCACAACCCTGGGGCCCAGTCTGTGGGGCCAGGACCGCTGTCCGTCTGGATTCACAGCCTCTGCGGACTTTAGACCGGGCCCCCGCCACCCCAGGCCGGCCGCATCCACACAGACGGATCTTAAGCTGCTCCTGCAACAGGATTAAGTCTAGCACTTTCAGCTCAGCTCTGTGGAAGTTTTGCCCACTGGCTCATCACTTTGTGGAACCACACTGTTACATTTCACTTGCACAAAACAACGTCCTCTGCTTGGACAGTCAAAGTGTCGAGACAACAGAAGCATACCTGACCCTCAGCAGCCCTTTGCCCCACATTCCAGATAAGGACATGGAGGCGGCAGGTAAGTGGCAAAAAGTGCAACTGCCTCCCTCTGAAACCTGTGTTCTTGCCTGTGCAAGGTGCCCAACCTCACTGGGCAACTGAGGAGGGTCACTCAAGGACCAGCGACATCCTGAGGCTTTTGAAAAAGCCCCTGGGGCCAACAAGCCGCTAGATTTTTATCTTTTTTTTTTTCCCTAAGACAGGACACTTGGGTCCCTCTTCCCTCAGCCTCCCTTCCTGCCCTCCGCTGCCATAGTATCCCTACACACCCGCCAGGTGGGAGAAAGAAGAGTCTTTCTTCCTCCTTGCTCCCTCCCTCTCTAGGGGGTTACTAGGAAGGGGGGGGGTGTCAAACCCGCTCTCCACAAGCACCGTGGGAGTGACGGGGGCGAGCTGGCAAGGATTCCCTCCTTCTGGGAAGAGTAAAAGGGCCGTTCAGTCGCAATGCACCGCCGGCACCTGCTACCAAGAAGCCCTCCCGCTGAGGTACCGCCGCTGGCCCCCGCCCGGGCCGGCGCGCGGAGCGAGCACTGGCCCTTTAAGAGCGGCGCGCGGGGAGGAGGGCTGGGAGCGCCCCGAGCTGCGCCGAACTCGCGGGGGACGTCGGGCGCCGGCTCCCTGGCTCGCTCACTCGCTCCGACCGGCTCCCTGCGCCTCCTCCCGGGACTGCGCGGGGACCCGGGCCCGGGCGGGCGCGGGGCGAGCAGAGTCCCCGGGCGGGAGGCGCGCGCTCTGGGCAGCACCCGGCCCCGGGCATGGACAGAGGGAGCTGGGCGCGCAGGGGGCGCCGCGGGACCGGGCGGCCGGAGCGCTGAGCCAGACAAAGGCTCAGGAGTTGCGCTAGCTTTCGGGAGCCGGGCCCCGGGCGCCGAGGCTGCGGGACCCCGCGGCGGGCGGCTCCGGCCGGCCACCTCCCCCCGCGGGCCGGCTCCGCGCGCCCGGACCTGCCCTGCCGGCTTCTCCTCGGGCGTGGGAATTTGCCGAGGGGACCTAAGCGGCTCCGGCGGGGACAAGGACCGAGAGGTCTGCCGCGCGCCCGCCCGGCGGGGAGCCAGGGAGCGTCGCAAGTTTCCGAGCCGCGTGCGGGGCCCCGGCGCCGGCCAGCGGGCGAGCCCTGCGTGCAAGCGCGCCGGGCCGGGCTAGGCGCCGAGAGCATGGGCAGCGACCGGAGCGCGCCCGGACGGCCGGGCTGGGCGGGCAGTCTCCTCGGCGGCCGGGAGGCGGCGGCGCGGCCGCGACTGCTGCCGCTGCTCCTGGTGCTTCTGGGCTTCCTGGGCCGCGGCGCGGCGGCGGAGGACGCAGAAGTCAACGCCGAGGTAAGGACCCCCCTCTCGCCCGGCTCCTCCGCGGCGGGCTGGGGGCTTGCGGGGGGGCGGGGGCGGGAGGGAGCCACGCCCGCGGCTTGGGGCGAGGGGTGGAGGGCGCGGAGACGAGCCCCCGTCCGAGAGATGGGGGGCGGGGAAGAAAGGGGCCAGCCTAGCTGCCCCTCCCCAGCTCGCCCTCTGCGGCGCACCTCATCCCAAATCCTGGAGGGTGTAGGACTCGCGCCCAATCGACCCCTAAGACCCTGCCCCGGTCACTGACCCACCCCAGCCCGGGTCCCGGGAGTCGCTTCTGCTGCCCCCAGCCCTCGCTCCCCTCCTTCCCTCTCCCCGCGCGGCTGATTCCTCGAGAGTCCTGCGGGCGCGCCGTGACGTTCTCTGCGAATGGGGAGGGGGCTGCCCTGGGGGGGACCACGGGCGGAGCGGGCAGCTCTCCCGCCTCGGTAGCCTCTGGTCTGGGTGACAGCGAGCCGCGCGCGGCGGGCCGGGAGGTGGGAAGGGGTGCGAACCTCCGAGACAGCAGTCTCGGGTTGCGGGGCGCTTTGGCGACTTCCTTGGGCTCTTGCGCGGAAGCCGCCCCGTGGCCAGGTGGGTCCGAGAGAAATCCTGTCTGCCCCCGGCGCTTTCTTCCACTAGCGCCCCTACGCCGAGGCCTGGGTCGGAGAGGGCAGACTCCGAACGTGTTATCAGGAGCCCGCCTGACGTCCCTCCGGAGCCCCGTCTCCGGATCGGTCCCGCTAGAGACCAGGCGCGGCCTTCTGGGCGCAGAGTGGGGTCCAACCAGCATCCCCACCACCACACGCCGCCTCGCACGGGGTCGCCCAGCGCGGTCCTCCCGAGCACGGACAGTGAGGATGGTAGCTTCGTTGCCCCAGCAAAAGCTGGGTCCCTTCTGTCCAGACTTCTAAGACCCGACTCCCTGCCCCGGACTAGGAGAGGGGTGGGACTGGGCAGGAGTGAGGGGGTGGGAGGAGAGACGCGCCTCTGTGCCAACCCCGGTAGGCTCGGGCCTCGGTGCCCTTGGGCCGGCCTGGAGCCTCCTGCAGCTCGGGCTGTGGGCCTGAGTGCCTTCTATTTGCAGCCGGGCCGGCGCTCCCTCCCAGCCCCCCGGCGGCTTCCCCACCTCCCCCGGCAGCCTGGGAGATTTTTCCGATGGAAGCCTGCCCTTCCCCGCCCTACTTTTAATAAAAGCATGGAGGAAGGGCAGGGAATTCCTCCCGGCTCAAGTTACACCTCCCATCCAGTTCCCCACCTGCTCTGCCCTCCCTCCCTGGCCTGGCCAGGGAAAGCTGCGGGGAGCCAGGCCTTGGCAGGAGGTGGAGTGGGAGCCCAGCCCATGCCCAGTCCAGCTGCCCCCTCATTTCACACCGGTGGTCAGGCAGGGGCTTATAGGGAGTTCCTGCTGGTGGGGACTCCTATCCAGGTACTGGGTAGAGAGTGCTTATTAGGCCCACCTGCTACTCTGGAGAGGGGGAGCCAAGGACTGCAAGTCATAGAACCACCCTTGAGGAGTTTACAATCTATTTAAGAATGGCATCTGTGGGGGCACCTGGGTGACTCAGTGGGTTAAGCCCTTCGGCTCAGGTGATGATCCTGGAGTCCCAGGATCGCGTCCTCATCAGGCTCCCAGCTGAGCAGGGAGTCTGCTTCTCCCTCTGACCCTACCCCCACCCCCGCTATGCTCACACTGTCTCTCACTTTGTCTCTCAAATAAATAAAATCTTTATTTAAAAAAAAGAATGGCATCTCTGCACAGGAAGCAATTAGGGACCAAGCTCGAATTTGGTGGCCATGCCTGTGAATTGGCATCCCGGATGGATGGGGTGCTGGGACCTATAGTTGGAGGGGCTTTACTCTCTTTCCTTTGCTTCTGCTCCTCCATCACTCCCCTCCTCTCCCAGCTGTGGGAGTACCCATAGCCCAGGGCCTGCACCGTCAGCCCTGAGTACCCACAGACCAGGGCCCTAAGCCAGTGGTGGCTGTGGTTAGAGATTTGTGACTGGCCTGCAGGCTGTCTCCTGGGGGAAATCCTGGGTTGGGGCATTGCTGGAGGAGACTCTGGAAGGTAGAGTCTTGATGTTGGCTTCCAACATCAAGGTAGGACCCTTGATGTTGGAAGCCAAGGTAGACAGAGGGGTAGAGACAGGTGGACTATCCCAGCAACTACAGTTGGCTTTGGGGCACAGGCTGTTCTTTGGAGTCTGTCAAGTCTGTCCAGATTTGGGCCCAAAAAGTCAAACAGCTTCAGCAACCAGCCAGGAGGCCATGGGAGACAGGAGACTTTCTCCAGACCCCCCAGCACTCACGGCCTGTGCTCTCTGAGGCCAACTCAGAATGGCAACCCCGCAGCCCTGGGAGAGCCCTGCCCTGCTGAGCGCTCGGTTCTGGCCCCTTTGGGCCTTGACCGGATGCTCCCTGCCATCCTCACCTCTGCCCAGCTGCGATTTTTGACTTCTGCCTGAGGCCAGCTATGGGGGTTGCTGTGGTCACCACTGCCCCCCACCTCGGATTATAAGACTGAATTTGGCATACTCCCCCAAATTCATAGGTTGAAACCTGACTCCCGAGGCGATGGTATTAGGAGGTGGGCCTTTAAGAGGCGATTAGGTCATGAGGATGGAGCCCTCTTGAATGAGATTGGTGCCCTTATAAAAGCTGCCCGAGAAAGCTCCCTTGCCCCTTCCGCCATCTGAGGGCACAGCAAGAAGTAGGTAGTGTGCACCCCAGAAGAGAGCCCTCCCCAGAACCCAGCCGTGCTGCCACCCTCATCTTGGACAGCCAGGGCCTCCAGAACTATGTGCAGTGCATGTTATAAGCTGCCCAGTTTATGGTATTTTTGTTATTGCGGCCCGGACAGACTAAGACATTTGGCATCTTCCATGTCATCCCGAGGTTGATGTGGCTCACACAGCTGGCCACTCAGGCGGGGGCCGAGCCCCATGGCCAACTCTGCTTTCTGACCTGGAGATGTGGTCTCTGAGGCAGCAGAAGCAGAGAGGGGTCGGGGGCTGTCTGCTTGGATGCCCTCCACCACACAGGGTCCTAGGAGGACCCCACAGATGAATGTGAGGACCTGGGGCTGTGCAGGTGGTGGAACGCTCCGAGCCTGCGGGCACCCCGTAGGTACCTTCTAGCTGGAGGAGCCCCCCTGAGTCAGGGCTCCCGTGAGGCTGCTCCCCAGAAGGACACCAGTTCCGGGGCTGCCTGGAGACCAGTGGCTGTGGACGGGGCCCTTTGGGGGAGGTAGCCCAGATGTCGCATCCCCAGGCGAGGACAGCATAGGTATACAAGCTGAGCTTGGATTAGAGAGACAAAGAAGGGTGCCGCTTACCAGATACCATGACGCTGGTGGGAACAGCAGGAAATGAGCAAGAAGACCCAACTCAATCTCTGACAGCTGGACAGACAGATGAGGACCTAGGTGCCAGCCATCATCCAGCCTGTAGAGATGCTTCCCATCCTTTTGCCATCCGATGGTCAGGCTGCCAGAGCCGGGAGGCCAGGGTGTGGAGCAGCTTTCCAGGGCTGGCCGTTAGCCCTGAGAACCACCTTGTCCTCCCAGAATTGATTGCCGCCCTGGAGGGGTGAGAGCCCAGCTTCACGTTGAGCATTTAGGAGCATGGCACTGGGTACACAGGAAGCGCCTGCAAAATGGTGGCCAAGCACAGTGACAATGAGCAGCAAGGAGCATTTGCTGTTGCATGCTGGGCAAAAGGCTGCAGGGTGCCATCCTGTGGGGAGTCTGCAGGGCTGGAGCCAGGTGGGAAGGAGGTTGCAGGGGTGGGGCAAAGCTGCCCTTGGCCGTCCCCCCACCTATCCAGCCACCCAGGCTTTGCCCCGTGAGTAGCCCTGTTGACACTGATAACGCCTACAGGAGAGTTTCCAGGTGAGGCCTCAAGGCCTGGCTCTCAGCCAGCCCCAAAACCACTAGCAAACAGGACAACTTTCACCCCGCCCACTGGCCAAAGAACCCATCTGTTTTCCCCTCCAGGTTAAGGATTGCAGGAGCAGGCTGGTAGGGGGCAGGGTAAATAAACCCAGGAACTCAGGCAACTGCCTCCTTCCTGCTTCCCTGGCTGGACATCCTCCGCCCCTCCTACTCCCCTGCCACCCAGAGCCCCTTCCCCACTGTAACGTAGTGGGGGAGGGCAGCTTGAGCCCCAAATAAGCAAGTGTGTTCTTCTGGAACTGCTAAAATATGGACCGTGCTGCCTCGAAAGGTAAAGGATCCACCAAGGACAGGGGGCCTGGCTTGGTGCCCCCTCTCCTCACTGGCCTTGGTCTACGTCATCTCTGCTGTCAACCCTGTGTGGTGGGAAGGGAGTGAGAATCCTGACTCTGTTTTGCAAGGAAGGAACAGGGGGCTCAAAGAAGCTTAATCGGCCCCCCTCCATCACTCAAAGGCCTGTTTGGCGGACAAGCAGTTGGGACCCAGGGGCAGGTGTCCCTGGGAGGCAGGTTTCTGCTCAGCCTGAGGAGCAGCTTTCAAACAGTAATTAATGCCCAAAGACAGAATGGGCTACCTTGGTGGCAGTGGGCACCCCATCTCTGCAGGGGGGTGCAGGCTGGAAGAGTCCTGGGCCACGCTATGGTCCATAGAGGCTTCAGTGGGGTAGCTGGATTTGACGGCCTTGAGGTCTTCTGCAGACTGAGGCGGGATGAGTCTAGGGCTGGGTTGGGTCACCTCGCTGGTGAATGTGCTCCTGGCTCAGATCCCCTGGAGAGGGTGGGCCCAGTGGGCCCAGGGTGCATGTTCTGCATCTGCAGGGTCTGTGGCTTCCCAGGACTACAAATCTCTTTCAGCACTGGCTCTGTGCCGGCCAAGACTGGGAGTGCAGAGCCAGGCAAGGCCTTGGCCTGCTCCCAAGAGCCCACAGACCAAGATACAGAGTAAGGGAGACAAGCACGACAGGGACTTCACACCATGGAAGGTCCAGGTCTGTCACCGGCAGCCCTGACAAGATGCCTTTTATGCCTGACCGGCAGCCCTGCCAGGGCGTGCTTGGACTGCAGAGAGAGCTGGGTCCGATAAGGCGGTGGGAGGGGCCCCAGCCCTCTGAGGCCGGGAGCTGGCCAGGGGAGCTGGCTGTGGTGGCAGCAGGGGTGCTCCCCCTCCCCCCGCCCCCCACAGCCGCTTAATGCACAGTATCGATCCGCAGCGCCTTCTCAGACATACCCTCCCCGTGGGCCTGCCTTGGGATTGTCTCAGCAATTCTGGGGGCCAGCCCTGCTGACACGGCCCAGCACCCAGACCCGGCCAGAGAGGGGGGGTGTGGGGAGGACTAGATGCCCTCCCCCAGTGCTGTGCTGGGCTCTGCTCCTCGGGAGCTGGTGCTGCTTCACAAGCGGCCTGGGCCAGGAGCACTGCTTGTAGGCTCCAGTTCTAGCCAGACAGCTGTGTGACCCTGGGTGGGCCACTCGCCCTCTCTGAACCTCACTGTCTGTATAATGGGGACAGGGTACTTGTGAGCATTGAATGGGATGAGAGTAAACTGTCCGGCCCGCGGCAGATTCTCAGCCTTCTGCTACGGTGTTTATGGCCTCTCCTAGGGGCTGGGGGGCCAGGAATCTCTCCTCAGACTCCTGATGGCCCCACATTTGCTTACCTGGGGTTAGCCACTCACCTGAAGCATTTATACATACTTTTTTTTTTTTTAATTTTATTTACTTATTTGAGAGAAACCATGAGCGGGGCGAGGGGCAGAGGCAGACCGAGAAGCAGACTCCCAACTGAGCAGGGAGCCTGACACGCGGGGCTCGATCCCAGGACCCTGAGATCATTACCTGAGCCGAAGGCAGATGCTTAACCAACTGAGCCACCCAGGCACCCCACATCTATACATACTTATGGGATGGGGTTTAGAGCTCAGGAAAGAAATGCTGGAAGAAGCCGGGTGGGTAGGTTCTCTCTGCATGGGCCCTAGAGCTCTTTTCAACCTTCCCTGCCTCCCACTGGACAGTGGCTCTCATAGAGGATCTCCCCCCTACTTTGCTGCTTCCTGACCCATCTGTGCCTCAGTTTCCCCACCTGAGAAACAAAGTTTCACCTCCTTAGCATTATCCCACCTATGGGACTATAGGTAACAAGGAAGAAAAGGAGCCTACTTTTTTTTTTTTTAAAGATTTTATTTATTTATATGAGAGAGAGAATGAGAGATAGAGAGCACGAGAGGGAAGAGGGTTAGAGGGAGAAGCAGACTCCCTGCCGAGCAGGGAGCCCGATGTGGGACTCGGTCCCGGGACTCCAGGATCATGACCTGAGCCGAAGGCAGTTGCTTAACAACTGAGCCACCCAGGCGCCCAGGAGCCTACTTTTGTAAAGGACAAACTTTACAGTCACCAATAGGAGCAGGAGGGGCTTGAACACAGGCCCTCCTCAAGTTTGAGACTAGGAGGTTGGTCATGACCTTGGGACTCACGACCCCCTTTTGGCCCATGGCAGCAGAGCATGTCAGCAAGCTGGGACTTTAGGGGTACAAGCAGCCCCTGTCACACACCTGTGCACCCCGATCCCATGCTCTTTTCCCTCCACATCCTCACCTTCTGGGTTTGTCACATTCCAGCAGTAGGGTGGAGAGAAACATCCTCCCAGACACATGGGACAGGAAAAGCCCACACAGCCCCTACGGGTGGTGTAGACTCCCATGGGCACTTGGCAGTCAGCCCTGAGCACAAGTCTGCCAGAGTCAGGCAGGCTCCGGCAGCTTCTTCGCCCTTCCTCTGGGGCTCGGCTGCTCGGCCCAGGCCGCGTATCTGCTCTCCTCCCTCACGTGCCATTGCTCCCCGGCCTGGCTTCTCATCCTGGCCGTGGCCAAGGGCATTGGTCACCAGGAGACTGAGGGCTCAAGGCTTGGCTGATGCTGAGATGGAAGCTCTTGGCCTCCCTAAGACCCCAACGGTGTTTGTGGGAAGGAGGGTCCACAGGCACCCATGGGACCTTCCTGGCAGCCCCTGAGCTGCCCCCAGGAGTGAAGGGCCTCTCAGCCCCGTCAGCTCTGCTGGGCTCTGGAGCTCTTCACTGCAGACAGGCCCAGCTCCCCTCCCTTTCCCTCCCCAGGGCCCCAGCCTGAGCCTCCCCCTGTCACTGCAGACACCGCTAATCAGCCCCTTGGTGGCCTGTGATTGCGCTCCCTGAGATATTTTTACCTTATGCAAATAGGTGATGTAGAGGCGCCCTCCTCCGTCAGCAGGCAGCTCCACCTCTGCCGCCATCCCCTCTCACTGCCGGAGCTGGCCTCGCATCTCCGCCTCATCTTCTGTGTCTGCCCCAGCTTCTTTGGGAAACTGCCCATTACAGGCAGTGGGCTTCCCACCCTGCCCTTCCCATACACACAGAGCCTCAGGAGAGGATTCCCGTGCTTGGGAAGAACAGGGAAGGAGCCCTGGGCCAGAGGGGCGTGGAGGGCCAGTGCAGGTGGTGGGGGGGGTGCCTCAGGGCCTTCCCCTGCTGCTTTGCCCTCACCTGAGGCCTCCTGGCACTCAGGCCCTGTGGGAGGCTGGACCCTTCAACTCTCTCTGGAGAGGCAAAAGACTGCCGTTCCAGGGACAACCAGACAGGCCTTTGTCATTAATAATACATTTACTGAGCACCTTTCCCTACGCGGCACATCGCCATGCAGTGGTGCGGACTCCCCATCGAATCCTCACAGAAACCCATGCGATGAGGCAGGTCCTGGTCCAGCCTGCCCCATAAGTGGGATTTTTTTTTTATCTCTGCAAGTTCCTCCCCAGTGCCTCCTGGAGGGCAGTACCCGGGGCCAGCCGGCCTGCTGACCCCTCCCGGCACCCCCAGCTCTGCTGCTCCAGCCACCGTCCCAGAGCAGGGGAGCTGCTCGGCGACAGAAGCTCCCCTCTGAATGGCCTGGGCTCTGTAGTCCTCTCCTGCCTCCTTTTCGGCCTGACATGGTTTTCAGTAAATGCAGCACTTGATGAGTAGATGTTTGATTTTTTTTTTTTTTTAACAGCACTAACTTGTGCACCTGGAAATAAAAACTTGGCGGTCTTTAGTCTGACAACAGCCTAAAACACAGGAGGCATGCAGCCATACCTCAGAAGTGGCTGGGCCAGAATCTGTCCCCAGCTCTGTCACCAGAGCTGATGGCTGTTTCCCAGGGCCTGGGAGGCCTGGAAGCTGCGGCCGGGCATCTGTCCGTGTCACCCTCTTTGGCTCAGCAGCCTCTCCCTCCAGCGGCCACCTGGACACCGCTGAGCCGGCTGTGTGGGCCGCCAAGCCATGCCGGGGGGCTGGCAGGTGGCACTCAGGGAGCAAGTCCTTGAGGACTTGGATGTGATGCTGGTGGCAGACGGACATGGGCGTGGCCCTGGCCAGCTGACACAGGGCTGTTGGTCCATGGCAGCCACCATATCTGGCCATCACCCTGCCTTATGGGACTTTGATGTGCAGCCTTAACCTTCCAGAGCCTCCCAGAGAGCAGGCCTCAGGTGCCCTCACCCTAGGGGGCCCCCAGAGACCCAGGGTGGGCCAGGAAAGGTACAAAGGACACTTCCCTGTGGCCAGAGCCCATAGCAGTCCCTGGCCTCTGTGCTCACCAGCAGCCTCGCGTGGCTGTCACCATGCTGTCACGGCCAGGATGGATTCTTGGCACAATTCAGCTCGGCTCCTCGGGGGTCCCGTCCTCCAGTTTGCGACTGTGACAGTCCTGTCTGCTCGCAGACTCGCAGGCGTGAAGCCCTCCCTCTGCGGGAACACCTGGTCTCCCCAGGGAGCCTGGAAGCCCCTGGAGGTCAGCACACCTCTCCCACGGTCCTCCACAGCCTCCAGCTGGTACGGTGTCTGGCACGGAGAGGGCGCCACAGAAACACATGGCAGGAGGTGGGGGGGGCGGGGGATGCATGGCCAGATGGATAGATGGAGGAGGAGACTTGCCCAGCAAGCTCTGGAAGGGGACGGCACCCCTGTTGTGTGCCAGCCGCTTTTCCCAGGGCTGCCCCATTGCTCCCTGAGAAAACTCAGGCCTGGTGAGAACAAAGCGTTTGTGGCAAAGCAGGGATTGAACTGCAGGTCTCCTGTCCCACCGTATTGGGCCTGGGTGGGCTGCCCGAATCCATCTGCTCTTCTTCCGGGAGGCTTACAGTCTGCAGGGGAGCAGCACCAAGGGGCTGGTTTTCCTACTTGGTGAGACCTCAAGAGGTTCTGAACCCTTCAGGGTCCCCAGCAGTCTGCCAGGAATGGTAGGGGCCCCGCCCTGGAGCGGCCAGTACAATAATAAGGACAGCTACTGTGGACTGTCCTCACGGACAGAGTTCCCATCCTAATGGGGCAAGACAAACAATAAACACCGAAGTGAAATATATAATGTGTCAGACAACAAGGACAGGGAAGGACAAGAGAGTATGCAGATGGGGGTCTTCTTTTAACATTGTGTTGTCAGAGAAGACCCCTCCAACAAGGTGAGGTGAAAGCACAGACTGAGGAAAATGGGTGTGGGAGGCATACAGATGCCTGAGAGTGTTTGGGCAGCAGGAACAGCAAGTGCAAAGGCCCCGAGGCAGGAATGTGACCATCGGGGAGGTGGGTAGGGCTGAGGGCTGAGGCAGGGGGCAGGTAAGGAGCGCCTGGCAGCTCCTGTAAGAACTGGCTTTTCCTCTGAGCTGGGAGGTCTTTGGAGGATTCTAAGCAGAAGCAGAAGATTGACCAGACCTGACTTGTTAAGGCCTTTTGTTCTGGCTCTTGTGTGAGAACAGACCGTAGGAGTGGACACAGGGAGAGCAGTACAAAGGCTCACACGGTCACCGGCAGCAGGAGGGGGTGGCAGCCCCAGCAGGGTGATGGTGGCCGTGGCGGGCGGTCGTCGGATGCAGGCTGCGTCTGTTCAGAGGTAGCAGCGCCAGTCATACTGACCCAGGGGTGGCCTCTCCTTTGCAGAACTGGCTGAGGCTCTACGGCTACCTGCCCCAGCCGAGCCGTCACATGTCCACCATGCGCTCCGCCCAGATCCTGGCCTCAGCCCTGGCCGAGATGCAGCGCTTCTATGGGATTCCCGTCACGGGCGTGCTCGACGAAGAAACCAAGGCGTGAGTCCCTCCGTCTGGCCCTTCCCAGGCCCCACTGGCACCTGCCCTCCTTCTGGCCTGCTCTGACAGGGGTTTGGCAGGTGGAGTTTCCAGAACAGAGTGGCTTAGATAAGAAATGGCAGATGGCTGGGTCTTCCCTGTGCTGTTCTCATTGGCTGGGAGAGGCGGCCTGAAGCTCTGTGTCGAGGAAGGTCCTGAGGCGAATCAGGCTGGGCAGCAAGGAGCATGGGATTGATTAGTGATGTCTGCCACAGGCATGGCACGGGGGGGGGAGGGGGGAGCAGCACGCGGGCCCTGGACCCTGGCTGGGACATTTGGCGCCGTGCTGAATCTGACCGAGGTGACAGGACCCAAAATTGCATCCTTGAGCACGCACTGAGCATAACGTATCACGGACGGAGGGCCTCAGGAGTAACTCTCCCATTCCTGGGTGATACCGGTGAAAGGGGGCTCATCTTCGTGGAGCCCCTTCTGGGCACTCGGTCTTCCAGTCTGAGTCAACATGCCTGTTTCTCCGATGAGGAAACTGAAGCGCAGAGAGGGTCCCACCCCCACCACACCCATACAAAGGGCAGCTGGAGGCCAAAGGCAAAAAGGTGGAAGAAGGTGGACTGCCTGGAAGAGGCAAAGCCAAAGCGGGCAGGCATCGGGAGGGAGGCTCTGGGCTTAACGCTCTGTGTCCGTGACGCAGGTGGATGAAGCGACCCCGCTGTGGGGTGCCAGACCAGTTTGGGGTGCGTGTGAAAGCCAACCTGCGACGGCGGCGGAAACGCTATGCCCTCACGGGGAGGAGGTGGAGCAGCTACCAGCTGACCTTCAGGTAGGGACCTTGGCTGTCCAGGGCAACAGCCCTCCCACGGCATCAGCCGGACGCTGCCGGCTCCCCTCCCCACCCGGCCGAGGCCTCAGGCTTCCTAGAGGGCTTGTCTGGAAGGCTTCCTTTCCCAGAAGCCCACCCCAGGGTGCCCAGCATAGACCATCCGACCCGCTCCCACGCTGACAAGATCAGCCACATATCCTAGGCAGTCTTCCCCCGGCGAAGGTCAGGACCCTTGGAGCTGCTTCCGCTCTGTCCTCCTTCCCTCCCGGCTCCCCGCCCCACCCACCAGCAGCTGGGGGGCTGGCCGCACAGCTGGGGGCCTCCGCAGTGCCTGGCACACGGGGCTTCAGGCATCTAAGGGGTGGGGGCGGGTAGCAAGGTGTTGGAATCCAGGCATCTGTCAAGTGGGCAGACAGCAAGTCCCCTGCAAAAACCCTGGTCCAGGCACCCTCCTCCTTTGGCAAGAATCGCCCCCCCAGCCACGTCACAGTTCCCAAGGGATCCCCTTCCTGTTTTAGTCCAGCCACGGCCCCACCCACAGCTCTATCTCCTGAGGAAGAGCGGCTCTTGCGGCCACTTAGACCCCAGGCCCCTCAGAGCGAAGTCATGGCCCAACCAGCTTTTAACGGAGGAGATCTGTCCAGCACACAGAAGCTTAATCTGATTTATGTGGGTAATACCAGGCATCCTCCTGCCTTTATCGCGTGCAGACTCGGGGCCCGTGTTCTCCATGAGCTCATTCATGTCATCCTCCCAGCTCCCCAAGATGAGAGCCAGGACTCTCCTTTTCCCATCTTACAGATGCAGAAACTGAAAAACCGAAAGACGAAGTCGCTTGCCCAAGGTCATGTAGATCATGTCAGAGCCCGGCCTTGAACTCAGGACAGCCTGACCCTGCAGTCCAATAATCAGAACCGCTTGGCCCGGGTTTCCTAAACCTCAGCCATTTGTCTCCAAACCGTCTAATTCTTTCTCTTAGCTACACAGCACCTGTTCTTTTATTTGCTTCATGGTTTTCTTATTTAAGCTAATTGGGCGCCCTGCAACCTTATTTAGTGATATCCTCATGAACTCCCGGGTTTGACGTGTTAGTTCTCCTTTTCAAATTCACGTCAGAATAAACTAACGGTTGGTATTGATGGGCACTGTCGGTGAACCAGCTCAGATCTTAGGCATGTCTCTTGGGACCATGTGTCTTCACCCACACCCAGTGGGGTGCTAGCAGTGGACAGTGGAACCCAGTAGGCCCTGGGTTCACTCCTTGTCTCCCTGCCCACCTGCAGCATCCAGAACTACACAGAGAAGCTGGGATGGTACCACTCGCTGGAGGCGGTACGAAGGGCCTTCCGCGTGTGGGAGCAGGCCACACCCCTGGTCTTCCAGGAGGTGCCCTATGAGGACATCCGGCTGCGGCGGCAGAAGGAGGCTGACATCATGGTACTCTTCGCCTCTGGTTTCCACGGCGACAGCTCACCATTTGATGGCACGGGGGGCTTTCTGGCTCACGCCTATTTCCCTGGCCCTGGTCTGGGCGGGGATACCCATTTTGATGCAGATGAGCCCTGGACCTTCTCCAGCACTGACCTGCATGGTGAGGACACCTGGCCAGGGCAGGGGAGGGGAGGCACAGCCAGCCCTGGGCACTGCCCTCTGAGCCGGTTCAGCAGTTACAGGGTTGGGAGGGGAGAGCTTCCCTTGCGCATTTCTCTGGAGCACTGACCCTCCATCTCAGTCTATTGTCCCATGATCTCTAAGGGGTGGTAGGGAAGGGAAGGGATCATCATACCCATTTCCCAGGTGGGGAAGCTTGAGGCCCAGCAGTCAAGAGCAGCTCAGCCTCTCCTAAGATTAGCAGAAGGGCCAGCTCTCTGATAGCCTCAGCCCACAGGGCCTGTGGTGGCCGGGTCCTAGGCCACGCCAGAGCTGACTATGCTGCCCGTCCCCACCGCAGGGAACAGCCTCTTCCTGGTGGCAGTGCATGAGCTGGGCCACGCGCTAGGGCTGGAGCACTCTAGCAACCCCAGTGCCATCATGGCGCCGTTCTACCAGTGGATGGACACCGACACCTTCCAGCTGCCCGAGGACGATCTCCGGGGCATCCAGCAGCTCTACGGTGAGTGGGCAGTGTGGGTACGGCTGGGGGGCTCTGCACGCCGGCTCTCAACTCCCAGCCCGACGAGGCATACGTACCACCACTAACCCTGTTTTGTAGATGAGGAAACGGGTCCAGAGAGGATTAGTGACTTGTCCACATCACTCAGTGAGTAACTGATGGTGCTAGAAATCACGCCCAGGGCTGACCGACTCTAGGGCCTGGCCCTCCCCCAGGGCCTTCATGGGGGCTCCAGGCTGGGGTCCCCAAAGCCCCTCACTGACCCCTCCTTTCCTCCTCAGGGTCAGTGGTGTTCTTATTAGACTGGGAATGCCCCTGGGGTCCCAGACCCCGTTCTTCCCACTCTCGCTCCCAACCCCAGCCTGTCCCAGGCTCTCCAGTGAGTGTTGTTGGCTTATCACTGCCCAGTGGCTTTGAGGCAGGTGGCACCCCCCTACTCAGGCCCCACCTGAGAATGCCTCCAGTGGTAAGGTCTCCTGAGGACCAGTACTGTGGGTCAGGGTCTGTGCTCAGTGCCCCACTGAGCCCCTTGTTAGGGCTGGCGGAACCTGCCCTGCTGGGCACATGGCAGACACTCCCTTCCAGACACCCCGGCAACCTGGCAATGAGATGGGCCCTCGGCAGAGGTCACGGGGCCATGTTCTTTCCTCTCCTCTGCATGTGTCCCCTACTTCCTGGTCCACTGAAGCAGGCTAGTGTCCTGAGGGGACTGTGCCCAAGGGAACGTGGAGTCAGGGGCAGCCTCAGGGGCACAGTGACCCACATCCAGTGTGGGGAGGTCGAGGAGGGGGCTGTATGGAGGAGGATGGAGGTCCTGAGGGTGATAGCTGGTATGGGGGAGGGGTCTACTGTGGACAGACAGGGACTTGTACCTGGCTAGGCCTACCACCGAGGCAAATGTCCCTCTGGGCTGGGGGCCCCAGGGTCCCCTGGTTCTGAGTAGGAGAACCTGGCATCCTGGCTGGGTTCTGGGGCTACCTGCTGACTTCCCACTCCCCCCACCCGACTCTGCAGGCACCCCGGATGGCCAGCCACAGCCCACCCGGCCTCTCCCCACCGTGACTCCCCGGCGACCAGGCCGGCCAGATCATCGGCCCCCCAGGCCCCCCCAGCCACCACCCCCAGGTGGGAAGCCGGAGCGGCCCCCAAAGCCAGGCCCCCCAGCCCAGCCCCGAGCCACGGAACGGCCTGACCAGTATGGCCCCAACATCTGCGACGGGGACTTTGACACAGTAGCCATGCTGCGTGGGGAGATGTTCGTGTTCAAGGTCTGGCCCCTGCCCATGCCTCCCCTAGACCCTTGGCCCCATCTCAGAGCAGGAGAGCAAGCCCCACATCCCACTCCCTGGAGCCTTTCCCCACCTGTCTGCCCTGGCAACCCCACCCCTCCTTCACTGAGCAGCCTATGGGGAGCCATCAGACCCTAGACCAAGAAGAAACCAGCCTGAGGGACAAGGGGCTTGACCAGGGTGACACAGACCTGCAGGGGCCTATGCCCCACCCAGGGCTCCCTCCCCGGGGCCACCCTGGCCTTCTGAGCTACCCCTCCACATCTCCCTGACCTGGGAAGGGGTGGATCGAGGAGATGCCTCTCCCAGGAGGAGGCTTGCTCTGCCCACTCACACACATGCCTTCCCCAGGGCCGCTGGTTCTGGCGAGTTCGACACAACCGCGTCCTGGACAACTATCCCATGCCCATCGGGCACTTCTGGCGTGGTCTGCCCAGTGACATCAGTGCTGCCTACGAGCGCCAAGATGGGCGTTTTGTCTTCTTTAAAGGTAAGATGGGGCAGGTGGGAGGCCTGGGCAGCCTTTCTGCCCTGGCCTCTGACCCAGCGGGCCTGAGGGAGGAAGAGAGCAAAGGGCTACATTGCATGTGTCATCCTGTTGTCCACTGTGGGGGGAGACAAGTCAAGGCAGGGGTGGGGGAGGTAGACGGAAACCAGGAGGCACCCGAGCCCCTGAGGGCCAGAGGCTGCTCCGACTGGAGGTGAGCGTCCATCCTCTGCATCATGGGGGCTCCGCATCAGTTCCCTCCCTCCTGGCCTCTTGTGCCTCTGCAGCCCCTCCTCGTAAGAACAGATCCCCCAAGCCCACTCGGGCAGGATTTCTGGGGTCTGCCAGCAGGGACAACGGAGCTCCCTACCACCAGCTCTCCCTCAGGGGCCTTATCCCCCTTGGGAGGGCCTCAAGGGCAGTACCCCCTGACGGACTAGCTGTGTCCCTAGCCCCCTGCCGGCCTCAGCTCATGCTAAAAGCCCCCGGGCCCAGAGGCCAAGCAGGGCTCCCCCTCTTTCTCTCTACAAGAACTGTGTATGGGGGCGGGGCAGATGTTCACGCGGTAATGCAGGCCATTTATAGTGTGACTGTGTGGTGTGTGTGTAGGTGTGAGTGAGTGACTTGTACGTGTATGAGTGTGTCGCAGGTGCCCATGAGTGCCAAGTGCATGTGACATGCAAGTGAGTTGCATTGTGTGTTGTCCTGGGTATGTGTAGGGGTATGATTGTGTGCATGTGTGGTGAGAGAGAGTGTGTGTGTGAGCGTGGCCATGGATGTGAATGGATTTGTGGGCCCAGGAGCGCATTCCCCGAGTCCCTTCCCCACAGAGCCCCTTCAGCCCCAGGCCTGTCCTCGCCCAACCCCCACTCCTGCAGGTGACCGCTACTGGCTCTTCCGAGAAGCAAACCTGGAGCCTGGCTACCCACAGCCACTGACCAGCTATGGCCTCGGCATCCCCTATGACCACATTGACACGGCCATCTGGTGGGAGCCCACAGGTCACACCTTCTTCTTCCAGGAGGACAGGTGAGCACCCCCTTCCCCAAAGGGAGAAGGCGCCAGTCCAAGCCCCCCTACCCAAAGAAAACCCACAGCCCGGTGCTTTTGGTCACAGGTACTGGCGCTTCAATGAGGAGACGCAGCGCGGAGACCCCGGCTACCCCAAGCCCATCAGTGTCTGGCAAGGGATCCCTACCTCCCCCAAAGGGGCCTTCCTGAGCAATGATGCAGGTACCAGGGCCAACCCCCTGCAGTCTGCCTAGCACTCACCATCCCCCCTCCTCCACACCCAGGATTCACCCAGCATTGCGATGGCAGGTATGGGGGACACTGTGTCAGGCCTGGGCCGGGGGCTTCCAGAGCATGACTCTCCTGATCCTTCCTGCATTGTCTCCATCCCCTTTTTACAGTCAAACTGAACCAGTGAGTTTGAGTAAAGGGCCCCAAGTCCCACCACAAGGGAGTTGGGAAGTCAAGAGTCCAACCCAGGTCTGCCTATGTCCAGAGCTGACACTCGGGATGGCCTTGCTCCCTGCAGAGTCTAGCTGGGCCTGGGCAGCCCACTGGGAGCCTGAATCCTGAGGGGGGTGAGCCTGGCTCAGGTCATTGGGGGGCAAGGGTCCTCGCAGGGTGCCCACTTTCCCCCCTGGAAAGGAAGCTTGACCTCTGTCACTATAACTGAGCAACAGGGAGCTGTGGCTTTTATTTCTCCAGCGGGGTCTCCGGCGACCTTAAGAAAAACCATTAGTCTTGGTTCTCAGGTTCCCGGTTCTTGGGCTCAGGGGAGACCCTGCTGGCTTTGCCGGTGCTTAGGCAGGTCACGTGATGTATGTGTATGATGGCATCACTCTGCAGCCCCTCTGATCTCATTGTGTCCAGCAGAGTATAGACTCACCCACAGTTCAGACTTGACCCTTCCTGGGGCTGAAGGGATGTGGACAAGGTACCCAAGGCCGCAGAGCTTGTCCAAGGCAGCGTTGGGCTCTGTTCCAGCCCAAGCTGCAGGCTGGCTGTGCGCGGCCTTGAGCAAGACACTGGCCTCTCTGGTGTGGGGTGGAGCCAGTCCTGGGACAGGGTAGCAGGGCCGCCTGACTGTAGCCCAGGATGCAGCGGGCTGCAAGACCCTTCGGTGTCCCACCCCGGTCAATGTCAGCCCAGCCAGGAAGCACCGGAAGCATAGTCAGGCCCTTGACCCAAACCCCCCCATCTCTGAGCCCGGTCTGGCTTCTGTAGTTGGGAGGGGGCAGATTTGAAGGTACTCACGCCAGCAAGTGAGAAGGGGGGGGTGCTTTAAAGCTGGGGCGCCTGCATGTCCTGGTCTTCTTTGAGGGTCTGGGGCGGGTGGGTGGGGCACGGCCTGACACCACTCATTCCCGCTTGCCCCCCACCCCCCGCAGCCTACACATACTTCTACAAGGGCACCAAGTACTGGAAGTTCGACAACGAGCGCCTGCGGATGGAGCCGGGCTACCCCAAATCCATCCTGCGGGACTTCATGGGCTGCCAAGAGCACGTGGAGCCGGGACCCCGCTGGCCCGATGTGGCCCATCCGCCCTTCAACCCCGACGGGGGTGCAGAGCCCGGGGCGGGCGGGGAGGGCGAGGAGGGCGAGGAGGGCCGTGAGGCCGGCGCGGGCGGCGGGGAGGGGACAGGCGGGGACGGGGGCAGCCGCGTGGTGGTGCAGATGGAAGAGGTCCCGCGGACGGTGAGCGTGGTGCTGGTGCTGGTGCCGCCGCTGCTGCTGCTCCTGTCTGTCCTGGGCCTCAGCTACGCCCTGGTGCGGATGCAGCGCAAGGGCGCGCCGCGCGCGCTCCTCTACTGCAAGCGCTCCCTGCAGGAGTGGGTCTGACGCGCCGCGCCCCGCCCTCCTGCCCCTCTCGGCGCTGTGGGGGCGGGGCCGCTGGGCACCGAGCCCGCAGCCTTCCAGGGCTCCCTCAGCCCCTGGGGGGGGAGGGGGTTTCCAGGCCCTACGCCGTCCCTGCCGGCCCCGCCCCGTTGTTTATTTATGCCCAGGTTTTGTTGTTGGTGGGTTTTTTTGTTTTTGTTTTTTTTGCACACTAATTGAGTATTTGTTTCTACTTTGCTGACCAGGAGCAGCGGTCCCTTCTGGCAGGGGTTAGAGCTTTCTAAATGGAGTTCTGCTCCGGACAGGGAGTGAGCCCCTCGCCCCCCACCCCCCACCTCTGGCTTGGCCACAGCCAGAGGAGCAGAGGGTCAGAAGGCCCAGCTGGAAAGTGGCTAAAGGGTTTCTGAGGCTCCTTCCCGCCCTGGACCCTCCTCAGCCTGGGCTGGCTTTGGAGACGCGTGGGGCCTGACTGGTCTCCACCCACCTGAATGTCTGCCTTAGAAGAGCTTTCACCCAGGGGCAGCCCCTGGCCACAGGGGACAGAAGGGTGAGGTGGCCTACTGGCCCTGAGTCCTGTGGAGTTTTGATTCCTTCCCCACCTACCCCTGTCAACCCGTTACCCAGGCTTCTCGTGCCCAAGATGCCTACCCTGGCCTTGGCCAGCCGAGGGGCCCATAGCCCCCAGCTCCCACATACCCCTGGAGCCTACACCTCCTCCCCTCTCTGCAGAAGAGGCCCTGAGCCTGCCTTACCAAGGACCAAAGGGGGTCTGCCAAGGCCCCTCCACCCAGGGGCCTCACCACCCCCCCCAGGCTGGGCTTCCTGCCCCTGTCCACCCCTCTTTGAGCTATGACCCACCTGGGCTCCTTCCCTGGGCTTGCTCCCACTCTCCCTCACCCACACCACCGTCCTCAGGGGTCTCGGAAGCCCACCAGCCTCAGGCACCAGCTGCCAGGCTCCCAGCTGTCCCAGGAAGACAGGGGGCTGATGGGCGCCCACAGCCCACCATGCACCCGGCTTGGGGGTTCTTCCCCTCCAGCTTCCCTGTCCCCCAGGGCACTGGGAGGAGGGACACTGGTGGAGAAAGGCTAGCAGCTCAGCCCCTCACACAGACTTGCGGGCTGCAGCTCTGGAGCCCCCAAAGGAGCCCACTGTGGCCTGGAGACTCCCCTTCTCCTTGGCTCAGCCCTAAGGGCCGGGACGCTTCCTCCTCCTTTTCCTTCCCAAAGTAAGCAGGAGGCAAGGCTGCTGTGGAAATGGTACTGTACAGCCGGCTCCGTCCCCTCTGCTTCCCCTCGGCCCTGAGCAAGCGGGTCTGCCACCCAGACCCCCGAGGCCCCTGGAGGGAGACGCATCTCATGGACTGGCCTGGAGCTCGGGTCTGGCAGCTTGCTCCCCCCTCCATCCTCAGAACCGGAGAGCCAGCCAAGGGATGGGGGGTGGAGGGCAGTGTCCACCCCCATACATTTCTTTCTGTAAATACTCTGCACTGATTAAATTGTACAGCCGGCAAGTGTGGCCTCATTGTAAGAGGCCCTGGCCCGGAGGGGCTGTGGGTGACAGGAGTGAGTCCAGGCCGCGATTAGGGCACTTGCCCTCCATGTGGAAGAGACCTTGTTTCCAGTTCTCCCGGGTTCCTTCCCAGTAGCCCTGGGAGGGGCAGAGCTCAGAGGAAGAGTGAGGGGTGGCTGCCCTCCACAGACCAGAAGCAGGTGGGGCAGGGGTCTGGGGTTGGCCCTGCTGGGGTGGGGCAGAGAAAGAGGGCAGAATTTACTGGACATTCATTCACGGTGAGAAAGGGCATCCCAGCTTCCCACCCGCAGTGTGTGTCTAGGAGGGTGGGACCGCCAGGCCACGCCCCCCAGCCTTTCTTCCACCCCTCCAGACGGGGTTCTGGGCAGCCTGAAGACCCAGCCTGGAGGCCAGAGATGGGAAGTGGTACCGCTTTGGATTTGGAAAGTTCCCCTTACCACATGCTCTGCTCAAAGGTAGAGGGGGGGGCACCCAAGATCTGCCCTGTCATCTTTGAAAAAGCAGGAAATCACGCTGGGCAGCCTGCAGACAAGGCCCAAGAGAGTAGGAGACTGGAGCTTCACTGCCCCGTGGGGTCTGGGCGTGGCTGGCAAGCCTTGGACCCCACATCCATCCTCTGGGCCAAGCTATTGGGCACTGGCCTGCACCCCCAGAAATGCAATGGTCTGCTGTAGTGGGGTTCCACCCCAACCATGGAGCAGGCCAGGCCTCCACAATAGCTGGGGCAGGGTCCTTCAACCTGTTCCAGGCCCCACCCTCCCCTCAGCTGCACACCTCCTCCCAGCCCCCCTTGATCCCACCCTTTCCTCCCTTTGTGTTGAAAACTGGCTGAGGAAGCCCCAAAGGCCTCTCAGGCTCAGCTAGGAAATGGCCCGTGAACCCCCCCTCCACCACAGGGGCCTTGGTGGGCAGCATGGGGGTCCAAGGCACACACCATCTTGTCAGCTTTCCTGTGGCAGAAGCCACAGGGCCCCACCCAGGTCTGCCTTCTGCCTGAAGCCCAGAGGTCACCAGGCAAGTGGGGGCACACGGACGAAAAAGGAGAAGACCCGAGACCTCTCACCGAGCTCTTCCTCAGAACCCAGGCCAGGGAAGAGAATTGGCAGAAGCTGAGACCTTCTCAGGACATCGCCTGAGGAGACCTCTCCCCCCAAACTCTCTGGTAAAATCTCAAAACAACCCAGTGGCTGAAGGAACAGCACATCTGGTGAGCCCATGGGTGTGAAGGTCTCGGAGGTGTGGTGTCAGGCCTCAGCCCTGCCTCACAACTTGACACCCCCTCTCCCTCCCCCAGGATTAACAGGAACCTGCATCTTTAAGTTGCTTTTGTTTAATGTGGCTGCACCTAAACTCACCATGGGCCCCAGAGCACCTGTCTTGCTAATTCCCAAGTAAGATAATTAAGACTTAACAGATACACAAAAAGAAGCAAAATCTAAGTCATCTCTCCCCAGGCCAGTGTTGACAGTTTGGCGTGTTTCTTCCAGCCTTTTTTCCCTCGCATTTGCACAGCTTGCAGTTTTAGAGTCTAAAACATCCTGGGCTTCGGCCCAACGCCCCAGGTGCTTACATCTCGGTGGAGGGGGTAAGGCGACCTGCTGCATGGGCCGCTGGGGCGGGGGGGGGGGGGGGGGGGGGGGGGGGGGGGGGGGGGGGGGGGGCGGAGGCTGCGGGTTCCGAGGGAGGTAAAGGGGGGGGGGGGGGGCGAACGGAGGATGGGCGGCTGTACACGGCCGGCCACCACGGTGCCTGGCACATGGCAAGTGCTCAGTGTCGACTTGCACACTCCTCCACTTACATTTTATTCATGAGAAAAGTGGGGCTCGGAGAGGTCAAGTGACTTGGCCAAGGTCACACAGCCAGGACACAGCCACGCTGGGAGAAGAACCCAGACAGACTGACTTGCACAGCAGCTCAGCCCCAGCTTACCCTGGTGCCGCTGGAGAATAGAGACAGCAATGAGGAGGCCCCTGCCCACCCTGGTCTTCCCTCCCCACACATTCTAGGCGCTGAAGACCCCAGGGCCACCAACAGAGCCCCCTTTCAGGCTGGGGCAGGGGCCAAGCTGGCCGCTTCCTCCCCCTCCGACTTGGCAGAAAAGCCTTTTTGTTGTGGCTCACACAGAGGCCATTCTCTGGCTCACGGGAAGGAATGGCCAGCTTCCTGTCCATCCACAGCCTCCCAGACTGCAGTGGACTCTTCCACGTAGGTCCGAGAGGAACAGGGCTCTCTGTGCCTCCACGATGTCCAGTCCTGCCTCTGGGGCCCAAGGCTGCCAGGCTTTACCCTCCAACGTGTGAAACCACAAGAGAGGGTAGGGGTCTGCCACCCCTCAGCTCTCCCAGAAAATGCCGGAGATTCCAGGCCTCAAGGCACTTTCAGGGCAGAAAGTGCCTTTCTTGTGACCCACCAAGCACTGGTAGAGGCCCCTGCCAGGCTGCTTGCCCTGTCCCCAACTGTCCCCTGCCCTGGCTTGCCTCTATGCCTCAGTTTATGCTGTTCCCTCCTACCGGAAAACCCTTCCCTGCACATTTCATGCTGTCTCAATTGTATCGCTCCTTCAAGGCCCAGATGAAGGCTTGCCTGTTCCAGATTCCCACACTCCCTCCTCAAGATAGTTGAGTTTCCTTCCTCCTCTGGCTCACCCAGCACTCGTGTCCTGACCATTCCTTGTCTCCAAGCCTAGCCTACCCATCCTTTTTTTTTTTTTCTTTTTTAATTTGAATTCTAGTCAGTTAACATACAGTGCAATATTGGCTTCAGGAGTGGAATTCAGTGTTTCATCACTGACACACAACACCCAGTGCTCATCCCAACAAGTGCCCTCTCCTTACTGCCCATCCCCCACCTAGCCCATCCCCCACCCACCTCCCTCCAGCAACCCTCAGTTTGTTCCCTGTCGTTAAGAGTCTCTTATGGCTTGTTTCCCTCTCTCCTTTTTTTCTTTTCCCCCTCCCATATGTTCATCTGCTTTCTTTCTCAAATTCCACATATGAGCGAGATCATATGGTATTTGTCTTTCTCTGACTGACTTATTTCACTTAGCGTAATACCGTCTAGCGCCACCCATGTCATTGCAAATGGTAGCCCGCCCATCCTTACAGGCACCCAGTGGCCCCATTGCTCAGGAGCTGTGTGTCCTTGGGCAGGGCACTTCATGTCTCTGAGCCCAGATTCCCCATCTGTAGAATGGGGCTAAGAGCATGCGTGGCTCATACGCTTGGGGAGCTTGACCGAGTGAAGCCTTGTGAACACTTAGAACAGCCCCTGGCCCGTGTCAGACTCTAAATAGTTTGTTACTAATACCTCTATTTTAGGTGCGGGTGTACCTGCGGGTGTACCTGACTGACTGCACTGAGGAGGCTTACCTCCTAGCCTTTCTCCCCTGGGGGTATTTGTGGGATGTGGTCAAAGGTCGAGGGGCCTGGGGACAGGTGCCAGGAGGAGGGACATTCCTGTCCCACCAGCTCCCCTCCCAGCTGCCGAGCCCCTCCTCGCCCTCAGCGCCAGCCCTTCTTCCCAGACCCTGACTCAGGTTTCCCCCCAGGGGCCCCTGACACC